TGGTGATTGAGTCCCTTAGTCTGTTCCCGACTGGAAGGCCTCTTTTATATTGTGCAATGGCGAGATTGGTGGGACAGTCCCCAATCTGATTAAATGTCTCTCAGTAGCTACTATTATAGGATCTTAGGGTTTCTTTATCGCCCATGTCGATTGAGAGTAGCTGGTCGATCTCCACTGGGGTTTTGGTGTTTGTTCGGAACCTTGTTACGAAGGCCTCTGCCAATTGCGCCCAAGAGGCTATGCTGCCCTCTGGAAGTTTCTCGAACCAAGTCAAGCCTAGGTCACCAAGGCTAGATGGGAAGAGTATGCACATTAAGGCCTAGTTTCGCTTATATACAGCCATGACCTGGCGAAAGTGGCTCAAGTGTGAGTAGGGGTCCGTCTTCCCTTCATATGTAGTGAATTTGGGCTGAAGGAAGCCTGTTGGTAGGGGCGCGTTTTCAATCGCCGGAACAAATGGCGAAGTCTGCAGCCTTGCGCTTTGTCCGTTGGTTCGTAGGCTGGGCGCGGTATTGGCATTCCAACCTCGACGCTTCCATGCGTCCGAGGAGCCAACCGCTGTAAGGCAGAAACTCTGTGCGGATCCCATGCCCTGGCATCCTCCTTGCATCGTGCTTTTTCTTCGAGCACGGTTCGTAAGTTGGATGATCTGGGTAACTCCGTCTGTCTAGATCTGGTTTGGTGCGTATGTGAGAGCCAATACGTGCTTCCTTCAGTGTATGATCTTTTAGATCTCGTCTTCTCAGACCTGGAGTGACGAGTTCTGGAAGACCAGGATTGAGTATCGCCTGTCCTGAGGCTTCTACTCTCTCCTTGCGAAGGTGTGGTATTCCTACTACGATTTTCTGAGTGGCGATGGGGTGTCTTGTTTTTGTGCCCCTCTCCTGTCGCCACTTCTTTTCTCTTCATCTGGCGCTTTAAGGCCTCCATGTCCGCCGCCATCTTCCTTATTAATTCATCTTGCTCCTTCACGCGGTCCTCCAGAACTTGAGGATCAACCCTCCGCCTTTGCCTGTCAGGACTTTGAGAATGAGATTGACGGGGGCTGTGAGTCCGTCTTCCCCTAGTATCTCTCCTGGGGTTATGTCGCTGGGACTCCAAGTCCGCCATGGGAGGGACAGAAGGTAATCCTTCACGCCTTGCGCCCCCATCTGGAGTTAGCCCGTCGACGACGGACTGCGACAATTCTTCAATGTGTGCCATTGTTTGAAAAAAGGAAAAGCTTAATCAAGAGGTTTTGTTCTGTCTGTTGTTCCCACAGACGGCACCAATTGTACGGGAAAGAAATAAACCTTCTCGTATAATCCTGTTGACCAAGTCTACTCTCCTCCGTACGTCATCGCTTTATCACCTGAAAACACAAACGTGAGCTAGCCGGCGGGTGTGTGCCGGAAACCTCTCCGATGCCTAAGTCAGTAAGCTTGACAGATAGACAAAGCTCTGAGTATTCAGAAAGCAAAGTCGTGTGTTACCTCTCCAAATGTGATGTTTGTGAGCTTTTATAGGTTTCGTGTGGCACAATCCTAGTAGGACTTCTACTCCTCCATTCAGAGTCCTCCTAGGATTCATACTCTTGTAGGATAATGCTTATCCTTTAACACCCCCCTCACTGCTTAAACCAAGTGAGATGGTTTTTACCATGGCCGAACTCCAACATGACCGAAATAATTACGGCTATGCCGAGCCACAGAGTAGGCCGTACTATCATTAGTCCGGTTCTTCCTTTCGTTATACCTTATCTCGGTTCTCTCATGCACGAACCACGGTGTGTTTAGATCGAGATACCAAGTAACAAGGTTCTGGTCGTTTTAGCCACAATACGTTATAACCGGACTAACTCTGAGACCGGCCTAACTACAAGAAGCTTCCGGACCGAAGTAACTTTACATTTCTTCTGGGCCGGAGTAATCTTTTACCTCTCTTGGGCTGGAGTAATCTTTTACCTCTCTTGGGCCGGAGTAATCTTACAGCCTTTTTACCCAGCCCTTCGTACTTTGGGCCGTAATGCCCATCTCATAGCTCGGCCCAATTTTCACCAAAACTACCCTCTCAATAGAATAGATTGTTCCCCAGGTAGATGGTACTGCAACCGTTCAACTGAAGGGTATTGCTTTTGCAATTCAAACTCAAATATACGCCAGCAACATTCAATTACGGAGATATATTGACAATCTAAGTATTGTTTTACCTCATCAGCCTCTCTATACCGACTTTGTCCATCAATGTTAAGTCGATTAACATTATCTTCAATTACAACCGTTGCACGATCAGGACCTTTATGTATGTACTTATATAAGTACTTGATCAATTTACTGTGTGCACAACGCTCAATATTGATATGGGCATCATACAATACAATAAGATCACGATTGTATGGAATAACCCATCTGTTGTCAATTTCAAATCCATTAACCATGTATTTTTTCTTTGTATCCCTTCGCCTATAGATAGCAAATCCATTTTCATCAATACTCGTTTCACTGCAAAAATTCTTCAGATAATGTTTTGAACATTTTCCATTCACCATACACGGGGCATTAGGATTAGCACTGCCACAGGGACCACGTATCATGCACCTCATCACTGTTTGAAACGCTAATGGATCTTCATCCTTATCAGGAATTTCAGCACAAATTATATCATCAATTTCCTCTGGCGATTTTATCTTGTCATCTGCTGATAATGTCAAGATAATGTGCGAATGTGGTAATCCTCGCTTTTGAAATTCGATGACGTGAATATCTATTCAAGAAAAAATAATATTATTTGTTAACTTCAAACTAAATTTAACAAATCTAATTGACCAGTTCAAATAAAAACAAACCTGCAATTATTTTGCCAAAGAATTTTCGATTCTTGAAATATGCCATCAGCTGCTTCAATTTAATTCGAAAAACTCTCGCAAGTATATCCGGTATATCCTCTGTGCGTCGATTTAGAATGCGCGCTACCTCCTGTTGAATTTCTAACCAATTTGGGTTACATGTGAATATGACAAAAAGGTCAGGAAATCCCATCTTTCGACATATTGCGATCGCATCTTGGTAATGCTGAACCATATTTCGTGGGCCGCCTGTAAAAGATGATGGCAGTATAAATCTCCTACCAATGGATGATGCATCACTGTCACCCGCAGTCACAGCATCTTCTAAACCTCTGTACAAATCAGTCCGCAACACATTCTGTTTATGCCTAATGAAGTTTAGTCTATCTTGCTCAATAGCTGCATAACAATCAACAACAAATTGTTGGAACAAACATCCCCCTTGCAATAGCGTTTTCCCTTCTCCAACTCGAAATTGAAGTCTAAATGCATAAAACTCTCTCATTGACACTCCTTCTCGTTTGTTGTTTGTACCCAGAGTAAAACTTATAGACCTTCTCCATCCATCAGTCCCATGGGGAAAAAGTAATGGATATTGAAGTGGCATGTATGAAGGATGTGTTTCATTAATCCTTTGTAAATGTCCATCTAATTTTCTAACAATTATGTCACGATTTGTAGTGCTTTCAGACCCATCACCAACAATTAATGCAGCAATTTCAGTTGTAGTGGGTCTAGTGTACTGTCTTCCATCCCTCGAACTCAAAATGCGCATATGCAATTCCTGAGCACCATTTTCACGAATCATGTCTCGAGCAGTGCGAAAAATTGATACATATGGATTGATGACATTCAACATTGACTGTAAACCTTCTAATGTGGACGTTTCAATTCCCGATGTGCCACCACACCTATTCATAGCGTCCATTCTATTGCGAATTTCATGCTCAGTGTCATAAATATAGAGTTGTGCAAATTTAGGCCTTGTTCCAGGTTCCGGCAGTAGAGAACCAATTTTATGAAAATTTGCTCCACTAATACGAAAAACATAAGGACCCCTTCCATCTAACACTGACTGATCAATTTTCCCACCCATGGACGTGAAGGATAATAGGGAGTTATATGTCCTTATGTGTTCCCTGAATCTCACATGAGTAAACTGTTGTTGTAAAAATTCAGGAGTTTCTGGCAATAAAGGCAACATCACTTGTCCACTTTGACAACATAGACTAAATTTTGGTCGACTCAATGGACTATCTCTTACTTTTTCCTCCATCCACATCATTGCTTGACATCTAGAGCATGTTACTGTTCTCCCACCAAAGTTTGAGCGGTCTGAAATTTTTCTCCTTCTAGAACGTGTGGTAAATGTACTACCTGAAATTATTTAGATTTAGATTATAATTATGAATTTCTATTGTCTATAAGAAATTTGTATAGAGTACATAGTTGGCTAAATGTTTATTACCAGGTGGATGTGCTCTGCTTGAAGTTGGTGATACAATATTAGGAGCTCGCACTTCTGATTCATTTGTATCTAATTCATTAGATATAGGAATCTGAATTCCAACATGACTAACATCAGGAGCATTGTCATTATTGGGACTCCATGTTTGTCTGAAAGCACCACGTTGCATTCTTTTGAGTCTCAAGACTGTGATCCTCAAATGTCGATTCTCCTTTTCTATTTTCCGAAGGCGATCCTTTAATGTAGGATCATTACGATCATATTGTGTTAAAAATAATCTTCTTCTTGCCACCATTCGTGCCAACTTGGAGGAAAGATATTTTCGATATCGATTTTCATATTCTTTATCAACACCTAATATATAATATAAGATCATATTATTATTTTTGTGATTCTTAAAAGATTATTGAAAATGTGAAGGTCTCACTAATAAGATTGTAAGAAAATTTGAAATGTAACATTATTGTGTAGAAGTCAATAGATTACCACTATGACGGGCACTACTTCATAATCTTTTCAAACGCAAAACGATGGTTCTCAAACGTCGAGCCTCCTTTTCTATATTGAGAAGACGAATCTTCAAGGTTGGATCATTACGATCAGAATGCCGTGTCAAAAGCAGTCTTCTTTTGGCTACCAATCGAGCCATCTTGGACTTAAGTCGTGTTTGATTAATTTCTCGATTAAAAATCATATCCATCCTGAATAGAGTATTAAGTTAAAGCTTATATAACTCATGCTATTAGTTTATAGTATAGATAATGACTTAAGGATGTGTAACATATGACTTTCATATTAAAAACATGATAATCTATAATTGTTTGTAGTTAATTTTGCACATCGAAATTATCAACTCCTACATGATAACATTTGCTATAGAATTCATAAAAATAGTATGTAACCAAAGATCTAAAAATTTGTAATTCAAACCTGGAAATGTCAAATGGTTAACCAATTGTTGCTGATTTATTTGGAATTTACCTTAAGTTTGCTTGTCTTATTCTTCAATAGAATTCAAACTGGAATACAAAAGATAAAGAATACAAAATCTCAATAAGTACCGTTATTTGTTGTAAGTACATAAAAAAATTTAAAAATCTATTATACAACATGGATCTACTGAGGAGCTAATGTAATTATTTGTAAAGAAATTATAATACAATAGTTTTATAGTAAGCAAAGATAACGTAATCAAATTATTGTTATACATGGGAAAAACAAAAACACAAAGGAAAAAGAGGATTTATTTTGATTTATTGTTAGATTTTTTTTGAAGATTTTGTAAATTACAAAATAAACACAAAGCGGTGTCTTTTTGTGGATGGTAGGAATAAAAATTGTGGTTTTTTTTTTTTTTTTAAAAAAATAACGTGATAGACATTGAATATTTTTAGTTTGTATATATGTTTTTAATTTATTTAAGTTACAGATATTTGAGCTCTTTTTTTTAAATAACGTGATAAACATTGAAAAAAATAGTTCATAAAGACAAAATAGATTGTGAGTGTTGGATATGCATGAGTATATTGTAGGAATAAAAATTATGGGTTTCTTTTTCTTTGTTTTTTTAAAAAAATAACGTGATAGACATTGAATATTTTTAGTTTGTATATATGTTTTTAATTTATTTAAGTTACAGATATTTGAGCTCTTTTTTTTAAATAACGTGATAAACACTGAAAAAAATAGTTCATAAAGACAAAATAGATTAAAATAATTAATAAAGATTTTTTTTACATCTAATTCATAATCTTTTTTTTCTCTCTCTCATAATTCAAATCAACTATAAAAATTAAAAAAAAATTAAAAAATCAACTGTCATTTCAAACATAAATTTTTTAATCAAATTAAAATAATTAAAAAATTAACTAAAATAATTTATTTCCAAATAGACTGGGTGTTTTTTGACTTTTTAATATTAGGCAGAAAATCTAGGGGGTGTGGTTTTGGTAAAAGCATCCAATTGTGCCGGTTGCTAACGTGACTGTAAAATAACTTAACGTGTGGCACCAACTCTAGCCTTGCATTACAGCAGATCCCGTCCTCAGTCTTTGCGTCTCTAGAGGTTAAAAGCTGAATTATTTTTTTTTTGAAAAAATGCGAATAAAATTGAGGTGTTGTGATTTAAAAAAAAAAAAGTCCAAAAATTAATAAATTGGTTTTTAATTTAGGAGTGATTTGAAAAGTTCATTAAAAATTAATTTTTTGATTTTTTTTTTGATTTTTTTATATTTTTATGTGTAAAAAATATAAAAAAATTAATTAAAAGTTAAAAGCTAATTTTAACTAACTTCTCAAAATCCTCTTTAATTACCAAAAACGCCTATCAGTCTCTTAACCCGCCGTCTGGCCGACCCCTCTCTCCATCATCGACCTTACCTCTACTGTGCGTTGAGATCCCGACGAACTCTCTCCCATCTCCCTCGCCAGTCCGATTAGCCGGCTTATCCATAATTGTTTTTGTAATTTTTAAATATAGTTCGAGAGGGGCATTTAGCAGAATAAAAATCAAACAAATCAAACCAGAACCCATAAATAGTCCTGTTAGACAGAAAATAAACAGAGAGGCGGGGACAATATATCGACAATATCGTATTTACACAGAGACTAAGAAGACAGAGAATGGGTTGCAAAAACCATTGAATTCACAAATTTTCTTGCTATGTGGCTCTATACCAACATTCACATAGTTATTCCATTTAAACAGATATGAAAGAAACATTAGAAAAACAGATATGGAATGAAAAACAGAGACATGTTCAGAGCAAAAGGAAAAAAAAAAAAAAAAAAAACAGAGACATGCACACTAAAGTAGCCAGCTTTTGTATAATCTTCCAATTTCCTTGCAACTTTCTCAATAAATATATATCCTTGTGAACTGTATATAAGAAAAAAAAGTAACAAATTTGTTTGGATAGTTTTTTTTTTTTTCGTTGACAGGTTGATTTGTTTAAGGTGGGAGGGTAAACAGATTTGTTTACAAAATCTCAAATGCTTGAAGAAAAAAATAAATTATTAAAACAAAAGAAAAAGAGAAATCAAGACTTGCCTTCAATGGCAGACTGCGGACTGTTGGGTTCACTGCTGATGAATGAAGTTGATGAAGTAATGGTTTAAGGGGATATGGATAGAATAAATATATAAATATATATTCTTGTGAACTGTATATAAGAAAAAAAAGTAACAAATTTGTTTGGATAGTTTTTTTTTTTCGTTGACAGCTTGATTTGTTTGAGGTGGGAGGGTAAACAGATTTGTTTGGATAGCTTGATTTGTTTGAGGTGGGAGAGTAATAGATTTGTTTGGATAGGTTTTGTATTTTTTTTTTGTTGACAGTTTTTTATGGATAGGAGTTGTGGGTAGTGGGAGAGTGGGAGTGAAACTCTTTAAGGGTTGGGGAGAAACGTATGGCAGGAGAGAAAGGTGGAAGGATAGGAGCTTTTGTTGTTAAGAAAGTCTTTGAGAGGGAGTGGAAAGAGCTATCAACTCAAAAGAGAGGTGCCACATATTTTCTAGATTTATGAGAATTTTAGGATGACATTTTGAAGCCTTCTAAAATAGCACTACATTCTAATATATATATATAGTATAGATTTAAAAAAAAACAAATAGAAACCACACAAAAATAAAAAAGATAAGAATTTAGCTATGGATCTCAAAGAAATATGACAATATCTAAATTTGAATTATGATTTACTAATATAATTATCTATTTTATTGATATATATATATATATATATATCAAAATTTTAAATCACTTAATATGACAAATTAATCAATTTTCAAGTTTTATTTAAAGAATAATTTGATTAGTCATCCCAACTCCTAGACTTAGCAGGCACTGACTGAGAAGCAAACGAATTAAGTTAGATGAGGTCTAAGTTGTTGAAGGTAACGTTCTCTCACTCCATTAATTTATTTGTTTTTTAATTTTATTTTTTTCCTATGTGATTCTCTTTCTCTGCTAGTGAAGAAGAATTATTGGTGATTATGATTGCAATCGAAAAATCTATGTCCGTTCTGTGCCAAGGATTTTAATTGGATTTTGTTTTCTTCCATAAAGATCATAAAATTGAAGTAAAAAAAATGGGTACCAAATTTTTTATTTTTTATTGTCATTTTATTTTATAAAAAATGTGAAAATTTGTTGAGAATTCAAGATTTTACTATAACATTAGATTTTGTATAACTAGGTAAATTTAAAACTTTTAAATATCATTGTATTCTTTATTTTTATTCTCTTTCTATCCCATTATGCCATTACTGCTATTTGATAGTTTGTTAATTATAATTCAATTAATTGAAAATGAAAGCTTAATATAACTTTTCATATATATTATAGTTAATTTATTACAACTATAGTTGTATATAATAGCATAATATATAGGGATAGTTTCTAAATATAATTTTTATTTTTTTATGTGATTAAATAGTCCATCTTAAATAGTATATAGAAGAGTTAGATGGCTTCTTTTATCTCTAAAAAAACCCAATATATTTTTTTTTTACTTTTTAATTTTTTAAATTGAAACATTAATTGTTTATGTCCATAAAACAAAACTGATAAACAAACATCCACAAGCTGCACATTTTTTTTTTAATATGTAGGATATTTTCAAATGGAAAATGTTTGACACCTCAAATTTTTTTCTATAATCTGAATTATAATGATGTAGTCATAAGTGCCAAGCGGTTAATGCTGTTAGTGAGCTCGGTGAAATACGGTAGTAGGTTATTTGGATTGGAGGGGTTAGCTTGATGATCGAGAACATTGGGGTGAGAAGCCATAGATCTAGTCGTGACCATACACCTTGGCAGGTGGTAGGAAAGGGGTTATTAGGAAAGGGCCTCCGGCGACAATGAGTACAACTGGCGCGCGAAGTAAGAGTCTCCCACAGACAGCGCCAACTGATGATACTACAAGAGACTTGGATGGGTCGGACTCATCCACGCTTCTCCAATCAATATCCCAGTGATCAAGCCCACCAGAGAACCTGCACAAGAGTTCAACGGCAAACGGGGAGTCCCCCAACGAACCCTCCGACGAGCAAGTTAGAAAGAGAAGTGGATTATAGAGATAGATTAGAGATAGAAAAGTTTAACCTTCTTCTTGTCTTCAATGTCTGCTTATATCCTCTGGTAATCATTTCTGATGATACTACAAGAGACTTGGACGGGTCGGACTCATCCACGCTTCTCCAACCGGTATCCAAGTGATCAAGCCCACCAAAGAACCTGCACAAGAGTTCAACGGGGAACGGGAAGTCCTCCAGCAAACCCTCCGACGAGCAAGTT